ATGTGCACATAAAAAAAAATCAACTGACATATAAAGGAACGCCAATTAAACTCACAAGAAACTCTACAGGCAAGAAGAGAATGGAGTGACATATTCTAGATTGTAAAAGCAAAAAATTGGCAGCCTAGAGTAACGTACCCAGCAAAGCTTTCTTTTGTCTTTAAAAATGGCATGCAGAGTTATAAGCCTGTTTGAACTATCCTAAAATTTTCCAAGTTCAGTAGAAATCATGCTTAAATACTATAAGCTGCTAAATATAAAAATGAAAATAGACATGAGACAGCCAAATGTACCCTATAACTATTTTAAGGTGTATAGCAGCTGGTTGTGTATAAACTATAATTGAAATGTCAACTAGTCACAGATGTGGTTAAGAACTTGCATTTTCTAACATATTGGTCACTCACTGCCATATCAATTCACTTCATGATGTTGTAAATTGTTGTTGAAATTGTGTAGGGGCTTTTCATTGAAGGGGATGATATTCTGTCAGCTCTACTTTCAGACCCAGGATGATCTCCCAATGAAACTGTTGAATTTATCTGGACAATAAGATGCTGGACTCTGCATGGTCCATCTCACAATGAAGGAATCATGACTCGGTATGATCTGCACTACTGTAACAATATGGGGGGAGGGCTTTTTGGAGGGGTTTTGGGGAATCCCAGAGCCTATGAAACTGTGCCATAAAGTGAAGTTAAAAAACAAGAAAAGAAAATGACATAAAATTCTTCCACAGTAAAGAAAAGTTAAAAGAATTTGCCTCTTTCAAACCTGCTCTACCAAGGATACTTCAAGATGTTCTCTTGACAGAGAAGAGGAATAGCACCTACCAAAACCAAAGGCAAATGTGAAGAACATTCCAGTAAAATGACAACAGAAGACTGAATCAATGAACAACCCATTTCCAAAATGACAGGATCAAATTACCAACCATTCAATCAAACATCATAGACTACTAGACTGGATTAAAAACAAAACCTGTCTATTTGTTGCCTACAGGAGATATATTTCACCAAGAAAAATCAGAGGCAGGTATATCTCACAGATTTTGATGGTTTTGTTGTTGTTAGTTTCATCTCTTCAGAACACTTTCTCATGATTAAATTCTTCAATGAGTCAGAGATCATACAGCAGCATCGTTTTCTTTAAGAAGGTCCTTGATTTTCCTTTACATTTGCTCAGCGACACATTAGTCATTCAATAGTATGTTATTTTATTTTATGGCATTGTAAATTTCAATTTTCTTTCTATTGTTGATTTTGTTTTGTGGCTTTTCATTTAAGGGGATGTATAGTAACTGAAATGGAGACTAACCTACCCAGATGTGAGGATACAATGCAGTATGCATCTCTACTTCCAGAGTAAAGATGGACTCCCAATGAAACTGTTTACTATATGACAATAGGATGCTGGACTCTCTGCCATTGTCCATGCCAATAAACATGGACATATGAATGTGTATGAAGAACTATACTTTAGTAATGATATAGGGGAACTTGATGAGGGGGTGATTGGGGAGAAGATAATAGCAATCTCAGGGGCCTATGGAACTGTATCACAAAATGATGATAATAAATAAATAAATAAATAAATAAATAAATAAATAAATAAATAAAAGATGTTTTTCAAAAAAGGCAGTAAGGCCAGGCCATGGCAGGTCTGCTGGGAGTGGCAGACCCAGCCCAAGCACAGCAGCTAGAATTGAAAACATTATTCATTCTGACTATGCAGTGAACTGGGCAGTACCTCCTTTGGCAATCATCAACTTCCTCCACTTCTAGTGGAAATTAAAAGATCTTGGGATCAGCACCACATGCCTATGCTTGCTGGCTCCCATTGACACAATCTCTTTCAACAAAACTTCTTTTTGCGGGAAAAAAAAATGTCCCTCTGTCTTTATTAATTGCAATAGGGAGGCATGTTCTGTTGGGGAAATTACTTGTTTAGAGCCAAGGTTTTTAAAGCTAAAAGAAAAAAATCAGGCCCCTTGGCTAATATGATTTCTTGTGTACCTCTAAGCACCGAAAATCAGAAAATTCTAGCTATGTAAGCTTATTTTTGTTTTCCATTTGTGATACACAATATTTTAATACATTAAACTTACTTTCTTGATGTTTCAATACTTACATGTGGGAAAAGTATTTCAAATGCTGACACAAAGTATATTCAAAAGAAATAGGAGCTATCGCTTTTATAGTTTGGACAGCTGGAGAAATGAGTTATGAGTTTACTGAAAATAGTAATACATATCTTCAATACCAGCAACAAAAAACAAGATATGGAGATTTTAAAATCAAACAAAGATTAGCTGACATTAAAATAAGACACTGATAAAGAAATTTTCTAGAAAAAAAGATTAAATTAAGCTGTCAAAAGAAGGTTTACCATAGTTTTAGAGTAGAACATTATTATCTTAAGTCTTGGAATATCTTGAAAAGTTGGTGAGTATTAAAAAAAAACTATCACTGAAACATGACCAAAATATATTACCAGAAAAGAATATTAACATAGCAATATTAAGAATAAACAAAAGTTATTAAATTATATTCTGAAATAAATAAAAAGAAGGATATAGCATGATTAAATGGGATTCTGGGATTTCATTTTTCATTCGACAAATATTTATTAAGCATCCATAATGTGAATTACAATTCCCAGTACTTGTAATAGAGCAGAAAGCAAAAAAAGATCTCTGTCCCCTAGAAATTACTTAATAGCAGGGAAACAGAGTTAATAAATAATTGACATCATGAAAACTAAATTAAATAGCAAGTTATAGAATTGTAAATGATTACAGGACATATAACAACAGCAAGCTAGAGAATACAGGAACACAGAGCGATCTGGACAAGTAGTGGATTGTTCTAAATGAGCACACTGAGAACAGACCTCCACTGAACTGTCAGCATTAGAACAGAAGTGTAAATGAGAGGTAGTCAACCTTGTGGATGCATTCAGGAATAGTATTCCAGGTGCAGTTCAAGCAGAGGCTCAAGTCTAGATTACACCCAGAAAGTTCAAACAGCAAGGAGTCCAGTGGGCTCAGAACAGAGTGAAGCAGGGAAAGGGGAAGAGGGAGAGTTGAAGTAATAATGTATATCCTTTAAGCTATATTATAAATGCTTTAGCTTATATTCTGAGTATGTGGGGAACATTTTAGAACCTTGAACAAAAGATCTGCCTTGTAAATGAATCACCCTGGCTACTGCATTGAGATAGTACATTTTAGTGGAAAAACTGGGAAAAAAGGAAAAATAGGAAATTATTGTTTACTAAAGGCAAATAAACATTTTTAAAGCAAGTAGTGTGGTAGGTTATGAGAAGTGGTTGGAATGTAAAGGTTTTGAGCATATAGCCAAAAGTAGCTACCAATGAATTACAGAGTAGAAGCAAAGAGTATTTCATAGTTTGATATCCTCAAAAACTGAACAGACAAATTTGCCATGAACGGTGAATCAAGAATCATGAAAGTTATGTAAGTCTGAAGAAAATTAAAGGGATGCTTTAATATGTTGTATCTAAGAGTAATTAAACTTTCAGAGATGACAGTTGCTATATCTGCATCCCCTTTTGGAGTGCCTGTATTCGAATTCACCTCCTGTTAACTTTTGCTTTCTGATAATTCAAACTCTGGCAAGTAGCAGATAAACATCCCAATTGTCTTGTTCTTATGACCTGAATGAGAGATCTGGATTGAATTCCTTGTCTGTGGTTTGAGCCTGGCCCAGCGCTAGCCTTTGCAGGTATTTGGAGAATGGACCAAACCATTGGACCAATCAAATGGGCTCTCCCTCCTTCTTTCTTCCCCTCTCCCTCCTTCATCTCTTTCTTTTTCAAATTATTTTGGACAAAGAATAATAGTATTTTTCAGCAGAAGATATACAAATAGTCAAATGTGTATAAAAATCTTCAAACTCATTATCAGAAAAATGCAAATTCAAATACAATAAGTTATTACCTGATACCTGTTAGAACTGCAACTACCAAGAAGAAAACAAATATGCAGTCAGTAAGGAAGGAAGAAAAGAAGAAAGGAAGAAAAAAAGAAAGGAAGAAAGAGAAATTTGGATGGATGGAGAAAAGGGAACTCTTATAACTAGAGCCATTATGGAAATCAGTGTGAAGGTTTACTTTAAAGTTTAAAAAATAGTACTGTCACTTTATCTAGCAATGCTACTACTTGGCACATATCCCCTCCCCCCAAAAATGAAATCAGTATGCCAAAGAGATATTTATCCTCCTGATCACTGCAGCAATTCGTTATGTTGGTTACTACCAAAATACAGAATCAAGTTTCATCAGCAAATGGATGAATAACATACATGTGGCATATGCACACAATAGAATACTACTTAGCCTTCATAAAGAAAGAGATGCCAAGAAAATTCAGATAAATCTGCAGAACATTATGCTAAGGGAAATAATACATGCATAGAAAGACAACATATGAGCACTTTTTATATATATTGTTAAAAAGTGAATGTAAGCAGAGAATAGAATGGTAGTTATCAAGAGCTAGCAGCAGGATATAAAAAGAGGTTGGAAATATGTTGGCAAAAGAATACAATATTTCAGCTACAAAGAAGGAATAAAATAAGACATATATTGTTTAAAAAAAATTAAAAGATTAACCAGCAAAGGACATTCAGGAGGAGTGAAAAAAGATGTGGAAGTCAGTAAAGATGGTTGAACATAAGAAAATATACTGACATAATTTTGTAAACATAATTATCTGGACATAGTTGATATAATATTAATAAAGCAGTAAAAGGTGCCATCCTATTGCCAGAAGGCTATTTAACACAATTAAAAGTACTTATAAAGATATATTATCAACTAAGAGCCAACATCACATTTCACAGTGAAACTGCAGACACAATCTCACTGAAACCAGAAATGAGTAGAATACCTACAAGTATCACCTAATGATGTTTTTCTACAAATTCCAGTCAAAGAAATAAGACGTGTTCCTCCATAAGGACAAAATGGATGAAATGAGTTATATGCATAGGAATTTTTATTTGCATTTCATCCTGGCATAGGGCCATGCTAATCTTCACTGAATCATTCCAATTTTAGTGTCTTTGCTGCCACACTAGCACATCGGTCATTATTTTAAAGTAGCTGCATTGTCTACTTCAGAGAAATTAAGTCCAAAATTCTTTACTTAATAAAATTAAAACGGAAAGTAACTGAGATGGCTCATTCTACAGCAAATATCTTAAAAACTATTAAATATAAAATAGTAAGATGATAAAGATCTCATTTTCAATAAAGTAAAAGCATTTGATTCCTAGAAGTAATAGTTTTGCTACAAATACAGTGTTTCACTGATTATTTTATACACTTGTAGAAATGAAATTGCGTTGTACCATCATTTTAATAATTTTGTGACTATATTAAAATTTACTGTATGAAACAACTTGAAAATCTTTTTATTTGATTACTATTTATAGCCCTTTCCTGTTTTCCTTCCAGACTACAGTTTTCTTTTGATTTGTTGAATTATTTATTTACTAGAAACATTAAGTCTTGAAATATAGTTTGAACTACCAAGAAATATGCTTAAAACCATAACTCAAGAAGGACCACTGTTATTTCAAATACTATGGAATAAATGCTGTTAAGCATATAATTGCCAGAGGTACACAGATGTGAGAAGTCATTTTTGAGAACTCAACAGTAAGTCCATAAGTAAGTCATTTCTGGAAATGTCATCTTTAGTTTTATTATTGAATGGCAGAAATAATATATAGATATCATAAGGGGTTTCATTTATCCTTGCTGCAACTGATTAGAATTAAATAAAGAAGGAATAACAATGTTATTTTTATGGAGTATATACAGTGAACCAGATACATTCTAGAGGCCAGTGTCTATTGGAGTCTGAGGAAGGTGTCAGACCAGCAATTATGGTCACAAGCAAGCACAATCTAAAATTACTGGTCAATGGCTTCTAATCAACGCTACCTGAGTCATTTCAACTACAAAGAAATAAAGATATTGTAATTTTAATTGAAGTGTTGTAGTTTCTTTTGTCCAATAGATGAGTATCTTGTGATAACAGGCTTATAAATTGATTGTTAGCATTAAATGAAAATAAGACTTTTTAGGTAATGCTCCTCAAAAATCGAGATTACTTCCAGAACTTAAGGAATATTTGAAGCTTCTAATGAATTGATACCTATGGAGAATCATTCACCAGAAAATTTTTAAAAATTGACTCTAAAAATATTGTCATAATCTTAAAATTTTTTACATGAATAAGCATTAGAAAACCACAAAACAAAAAACTAAATTTCACATTTGCATTTACAAGTTTTGAAGGAGTATGGTTGCTATTGACTGGTTTAGTAGAAATTAGACCTGACCCCCTTTTATGTTTCAAATCCAGGTCATGAAGTTGTCAAAAGCCAGCATTTTCTGAATTAAATTTTTCAGAAACTATTTTTTTTCAAGATTGGCTTATTTTTTAATATTTTATTTGAAGGGCAGAGTTGCAGAGAGAAGAAGAAACCGAAATATGTCATCCGTCTTCTGATTCACTCCCCAAATGGCCACAATGCCCAGAGCAAAACCTAAGCCAGGAACCAGTTCTTTCGAGTGTGCAGGGAACCAACAACTTGAGCCATCCTCTGTTGCTTTCCCAGGCAATGAATGGGGAGTTGGATTGAGACTAGAATTGGGCCATTATGGGATTAAAGCGCAGCAGGCTTTGCCTATTTTATCATAGTGGAATTTTCTCAAAAAATCCCTAAAGATCCATTATGGAAAGGGCCCAGCACCATGGTCTAGTGGCTAACGTCCTCACCTTGAACGCACTGCCGGGATCTCTTATGAGCACTGGTTCTAATCCCGATGGCCCCACTTCCCATCCAGCTCCCTGCTTGTGGCCTGGGAAAGCAGTCAAGGACGGCCCAAAGTCTTGGGTTCCTGCACCTGTGTGGGAGACCCAGAGAAGGTTCCTGGTTCCTAGTTTTAGATCAGCGCAGCGACAGCCATTGCAGTCACTTGGTGAGCAAACCATATTGGGCAGAACATCTTCCTCTCTGCCCTCCTCTCTGTATCTCTAACTTTGCAATAAAAATAAATAAATCTTAAAAAAAAATCCATTATGGAAGGACAACTGAGACATGTGTTTGAAGGATACACTGTCAGACATCAGAAAATGGATTGAGAATAGAATTGTTCAGAAACCTGTGTATGAATCAAATCTCCCTGAGGAATATTCAAATAAAATCTATTTAAATATTATATATATACACAATCTCAAAAATTCTTTTAAAAAATTAAAAACCTAGAAAGAATACTTGATATGATAAAAATGTATCTACTGAAAATGTCAGCTGGGTGGGTCTCAGGACAGGGCGTCTCATGCCTAGATCCCAGACGACAGCCACCATGTGCACGTGGTGAGCTGTTCCCGGGCCTGCCTGGGCTCCTGGGGCTGCTCCCTTCAGGGTGAGTACACCAAGGGGGGAGGTCTCCGTGACTGCACAGGTCAGGGACCCACCCGCTGCCCTCATTGGGCGGTGAATGGGATTGGGAAGGGGGGTGACCTTGGGCCTGGGAGTTTAAACTTCCAGCAGCCTCCCAGTTCCTAGAGGGTCTCAGGACAGGGCATCTCATGCCTGGATCCCAGATGCCAGCCACCATGTGCATGTGGTGAGCTGTCTCCAGGCAGCCAGTGAGCCATTTGGTGCCAGGCTCTGCCTGCTGGCCACCCAGCCAGGGAGCTATGGGGTTTTGGTTCTTTGAGTCGCTGCTTAATGAGCTCCAGGTTGAAGATTCCCACTGGCAGTAACTCTTCCTTTATAAAACTTGTAATCACTGAACAATGTTGACCACCAAATACCAGTCCATGCAGAAGCTATGGCTTGGGGCTTGTCCTGCATTCTGATCTGGAAAGAGTTGTAGTCTCCCTTGGCACAAGTGTGGACTGGGATTGGATGCACCGAACCAGGCCAGACACCAACACCTTCTGGTGTCCTGGAGGACCAGGGTAGATGTGCGATGGACTAGGCAAGGTCTCAACCCCTACTGAGCCATGTGTGAGCCACATGTGAGTATGAACAAACCATGGCTGGGCTGAAACATACAACAGCAAGAACCAGTTTGGGTTGAAGGCCAGTCAGGAAAAGCCACTGTTCCTGTTATGACAGGAGGTGGACTGAGTAGGGCTGGCTCATGGACCCACTGGTAAGCGTGAAACCTGGCATTGGGAGAGGTTCTGATGGAGGAGCCTGGGCAACTCCTCTGGCAGGACACAGACCCGGCAGGTAAGAACAAGAAACATGCTTACAAGAAATATGATAGGAAACAGCCCAGAACAGGCCATGGAAAGTTACCCACTGGCATACAATTGGCATGGGTCGGGGGAAGACCAGGCTGAATCTGTCCACGTCATCCACTGGCAAATCCAAGCACCAGAACAGAGTGTGGGTCGAGCCAGGTTTGGTCGCAACAAAGACTAGTGCACAATACGGAATGCCAAGGTGAGGTTGCCTGTACCAGAAGGGACCGCAGTGCCCAACCAGCAAGCTTCAGAACCAGGAAGGGAGGGGGCAGAGCCGGCAGGGGAATAAGGGGTGATTCCTTTGCTGGATAACTTATCCCGCAGGAGAGCATGAGCTGGGATGGCGGTGGACCAGACTAGGCAGGGCTACAACACCTGTATGCCTCATGTGGACTAGATCAGGGAAAAGCCGGGCTGGGCTGATTATTCCCTCTGGTGCAAACAAAATTAGAGTGGGTGAGGGTTGTTTGGGCTTAGCCACAGCATCAGCTGGCAGAAGCTAGCACTGGGGGTTAGTTCTGTCAAGTCAAACCACAGAACTATCTGGAGAGTGCATAATCTGGGAGTGGGAGTGACCTGGGAGGGAAATAGTGGGCTCCTCTGTCATGGGTTGCCACCCCCCACGGGAGGGCATGAAAACCAGGACAGGGGCTGGGGTGGAATGGGGCATGGGACAGACTGGATTACTGCTACACATACTGGCAAACCAGGGTGGGGGCAGGCCTGGTGGGGGTATTGCGGGTCACTTCAAATAGGCTGCAGCTCCCGCTGGTTTATGTGAGGGCCGAGTATGTGCTGGGCAGAACCAGGCTGGACTGCAACACCCATTGGTTCTAGCAGAAGTCAGGAGTGAAAACAGAACCAAGCCAGCAATTACAACCACCAGCTGATCAGGGCGATGGACTGTGTCGGGCCCTGTATTTGCTAGCACATACAAGAATCTGTTTTGGGAACACCTCAGACAAAGTTTCTTTGGAGATCTTCCTAATCTAAATGCTGGACTCGGAACCCTAACCAAGAAAAGAGAGAAGACAGAACAGATCAACCAACCATCTCAGCTATGATGGACTATGTCAATCAGTGGATTTTTCAAGATAGGCAGTGATTCATAACTGTTGAAATATCAAAACCACTTGAGCAAGAACCTCAGAGCATGGGGACCTTGGGAGGGTGGGAAATTGGGTGGGCCTTCTCCCTTAATAGCCCCCTTTAAACATGAAGGAAAAAATACTAGTCTTATCCACTTTCCTGTAGCCCTTGAACCTTTTTACCCTAATTAACTATGTAAAGATTGTCAAAATAAAAAATAAATAAGAAAAAAAGAGAAAATGTCAGCTTTAAAGCATTTAATGTTACCAAAAAGAATGTAGAATCACCAACCCTGCCACATGTACATGATATTAAGCATAATAACCTGCATTACTTTTCTTTAGGTTCATATTAACCATAACTGTAGTTGTCTGCCTTCTCACCTTCCCCTCAGGCCATGGGACAAATGCTGCTTCTAATGAGTGACATTTGTCATCTACAAGGTAGTAGCAATCATTTCTCTCATCAGATTAGGTGAGCAGGATTGTCATGATTATTTCCCAACTGGAATATACCTCCTCACTTCAACAGTGTCAAATCATTTTTAAAAACATTAAATTGCCTACTTCTTGACTCTTCTTTTTAGAGTAGAATCAATGGCAAAAAGGGATGCTCTATGACAAATAAAATAATCTAGAAATTTCTATTTCGATGCACCAAATTTTTTTTAAGTCAAGTAACATTTATGTTGTTACATGTCACACTTGAAAGGATTAA